TCCGATAATGATGCGAGCCACAAAATTAAGATTATAAAAACAACAAAACACAGAAGAAGGTGAAGACACAAAAGATAGGCAATGTTGTCGACAATTATTTTCGAAGGGTATTGCAAGTATGACATGTTATAGGACCTTTTGCATCTTACACGATGATATTTTAACTCTCAAAGGACAGAACCTCGAATTGCAGCAAGCAGGCTTCTCTATTTAATCACAGAAAAACTAAGCTGCTTAGCTAAAGAGTTATGACTGGCCGAAAAGTATACGCGGCCAAAATAAGCAATGAGCATTGATCTTTTCATTTGTTCGGACGACAAATGGAGTTTGTATGAAAGAACACATTTAAATTCATAGGGTCCCTCATATCTCTAACCAGGAACTGACTCTGAAGCTTTTTCTTCGGCCGGGAAAGAAGCTCCCTCCCACACTTTCTTCTCGTTCATTCGCAATACATCGCCATCTAAATCGGCGATAAGCTTCAATCTACAAAAGTAACAAAAAAACACCTGCCACATAGCGAAGGGACCAGAAAGAATCATGTGCAGAGTTGTTGTAGCCGTACATGCATGCGATGTCAGGCAATGCAATGTACACTGTTTTGTTCGAGATGTTGTACAGAGATTAGGTTGTATCAAGAGCAAACATCGTGCTGGTATTACATCCACTATTGAAACACTGCCAATATATTTGAATACGATCCATTTTAGTGAGCTGCTTATTGAAGGTTGATAGCATATACGTTGACTGGTCGAATCTCACTGATTCAGCGGCATTTCGGGTCGATGAGGTTGAGGGAGCTTGGCTATGCTATGTATGATAATCATAAACATTATGGACAATGGAAGTACAATTTGAAACATAAAATACAAGTTTTTTAAATGAACATTGCGTTCAGCTATGTTCTTTACAAACATAATCAAAGGGCAAGTAATAGTAGTTACAAAATGTTGATGATGTCTTTATGATGTCGTCAGAGGTTGAGTGAGGATACATAAGTGAGGCATGCTGTATATAGTGCCCTGCGTTTCGCTATCAGCATGACAATTAAAAGAGCCAATGTATATATAATGACCATTAAATACAATGATAGACGATATGTGATACTGTTTTAATTTATCTATCGCATAATTAGCAAAATAAACTTAATCCAGTTTTCCATCTTTAACTGACTTAATGTTCTAGGTAAACGGAATCGATTTATAATGGAGAGCAATAACGAATTTCACGTTTTCTATTTTTGGAGATAAATACCAAATGACTCAGCTGTAAAAATGTGTGTAAGATACCTAATAACATTGATAGGATAGTAAAAATGCATTTCTAGTTACCGATTGCTAACTACAATTCTTGCAAGACCATAGTGTAGATCGGTCAACATTGAATTTTCCGAGTTTACTTTATATAACCATTAGTTCCTCAAAGCTGGGTTTGTGTCATCAAAATCTTACTTGGATGCATGATCTATAGACCTTTCGTCGATTCCGTTTGATTAAAGAAAGCCAATAATAGTTCGTAAATTTATTTTTAGGTCTCTGATGCAATGTATTTTGCTTATATTGAACTTGGCTATTTATTTTGTTGTCTGTTTCAACAAGGTTTAAAACATCCAACGTTATACCAGCTACATCAACCAGTTCTGTAATACGTACCAATCTACCAGTGGCTGCCCTCAGGGATTCCCACACTTTTGTTCGCTAAGCCAAATCTTTGATCATTTTTCATGCTCACCAGCCAGCTTCACAAAACAAACAACATCTTTCTCATTACCAAGAGGCCATACAAATTCATCCGCAGACAAAAATGGACCGTTTCGATTTTCTGGGTCAGTGCGTATTCTCCGACTTTGTTGGCACCCTCTACTCATTGAACGGATTGCATATAACAGCAGTGCATTTAAAAAAGGGGAAGGAGATGATCGGCGGACCACCACGAGCATAACGGTAGCATTTCTGTCCCTTCCCTAATTCTTTCATCCGAACGTAACGACTGTGAGAAATTTTGTGATGAGTCATAGCTTACACAACTTGACACGAGGAGTGCGATAGCGAAAGGCTCAAGCGTAGCTCAATTTCGTCATTGTATGTTTCTGTGCGCATGATTTCATCTGTTTTAGAGTTTCGACCGATAACCCATTCGCAGTTTCCTGCACTGTTCTACTGAAATGGGTTCATTTCGTGTATTTGCATGTCCGTCTGCAGCAATGCCTAATAGCTTAAATACGAAGCTCGAAACATTTAACTACCTGTATGTGTACATCGGGATTCACTATTAGGGACCTCTTTCTTTGCGCCTCGGCTTGTGCTACCGCCTTTAATTTAAAGGCGAAGGCATATTTCTTGATGATACCACTCTGATTTGTTTGTTTCTGTTGGGCGAGCCTGTTTACAATTTCAATCCGGTCCGGTGAAGCTTTCCTTTTCATTATTTACCCCTTCGATGCTCATTTTCTGCAGCGCCGCTTCAGCGAAACTCGTTCAGGCAACCACCTGGCGCTTGTCCTTAGCACTAGCTCTCTCTGAAGGGCAAAGACTAACGAAGCTGACAATTAGAAATTCCCTAAGTTTAATCAAGGTGCTAGCATCTATCTACTACTACCATGTACTCATCAGCTACAGGAAAAGACATTGTATTACTAGCAAGTTAATGCCTAAAAGGCACGACCACAAAGAGTCCAGGTTTCCTTTTCTTCATCATTACTGAACATGGACGAGTAGGGAGAGTTTTATTGGATTACAATTTAATCGCGGATCCAGACAATTGTTTAAACAGTTATACATCATCGTATAAGCACTAAAGTCCCCTGTTCCCAAAAAAAAAAGCAGCACTGTTATTAAGATTAAAGATTATGCAGTTCGCCTGTCTAAAACATATCAGTGCGCTAGTGGTTGCATCGGTACTAGCAACGATAATGAGAAAGCTAGTCAAATCAGATAAGGAGTATAACAACGCTAATCTGAACTAAAACGGCCAGCCTTATTAAGGTTCAGAAAATAACAACGGCATATTATCAAAAGTGTTCAGTTGTATGTCAATTTTTAGTTATTTTGCTGTTTTTGTTTTGTGAAGACTTAAAAAACAAATAGCATATATTTAAAAAATAATAATTAAATAAGTTGATTGAAATCGATCAATACTAGCGATCAAAATAACTATGCCTGAAGCTCTATTCGATTACAATATCTCTCTACAGACTCAATGCAAGCAACTGCTTTATTAGCCGACGTCTGCAAACTTCAGGCCTAATTTTCTATTTAGAAACATTCGCCATATTCAATTTATATACTATGTTTGCATTTTATACTTAAAATTCAGGAATATGACACTTTGCCGAATTTAAAATCAATTTCATTTTCAACAGGTTACAGGTCGGCAAACTGGGCTACCTGCTTTGCCCATATATTCGTAAAGCTGCTATCACTTGGATCAAGTATCGATGCAATATTGCTGTATATCGAGTCTAGTAAAACTTTTTTGTTGTTGATTCTAAGTATTTAACTTATCACATTTTATCCCGCATTTCCTCCTCAAGAACCATCCTCGATCTTACTTACAATAGAACATAATGGACCTCGATAACAATTGGCAACTTATCAAATGCATTCGCGCCAGCTTCTTTGAACAGCGACACTGACCCAATGTATTTCTTCATGGATACTTGGCTACGATTTATGGCCAACGCTAGTGAAAAGACATAACTCGTATATATCATTAATTGAATGCTATAATACCTCAGCAAGAAGCCACAGGCCAAAACCGACCTAAAAAGCGACTCGTGCCATTCAGTAGCAACGATACAGTTCGCACGTTGTTTGCATGTCTTATGCTAAGGCATATATGGATTTCTATTAAATACGCACTAGTACTCTCTCAGCGCGTTGTTAGAGTTTTACCGCTGTTGTACCGGCTGTGCAGCTTGCTGTTGGATGTCTACCGGTAATGATTGCAGTGATAGCCGCCAATGCTGGCATATGTGTTTTGTGTTTCAAGTTGGATATATGCGACTTGCATGTACCGACTAACACAATTCGTTCTACCCGTCGTAGTTATTCGTGTGGCTAGGCCTACTATTACAGCGGTAGCTTTATTAGTTAGGTAACTTAGCTGAATTAGAGCGGTGGGAGAAGGGATTTAGTCAGGGGTGGTAAAGAAAATTTATGCGAATTAAACCACTCCTGCTGATAGTTGTGTAGAGAATTCATGCCCTGTTGTCTCAGCGAACAAGCTTGGTCTTAAGCTGTACATGTACGCTTGACGAGTGTTTATTGTTGCATGCATGTATACATCGTGCATAGGCAAGAGGCAAAACTAAATACGGAAAGAACGATAGTCCCAAGGATTAAACCTGCAAGCGGCAGCATATTGATGGTCGTCAACAGAGTTCGCCACGAGCAGATGCGCGGGACCCAGCTATGAAAGATGATGGGGCGTTCTGAGAATGTTACGATGCTTCGCTGTGTGTGCAACGGCTAGTAAAAAAAAAGTCCGAAGATAAGAATAAGCAGAAGCTGAAAATGAATGCATACGGCTATTATGTTTGGTATTGGTCATGTCGAGATTGTTTAATTACCAACTAATTAAATGGTGCCTGCTATAGTTAATGACGCAGCCGATATCACGTCCCAGTAAATATATGCGAAATCTTGAAAAGCCACACGTGGAAACGGAGCTTTTATTAAGTAACAAATGAGTTTTTCTCCCGGTACCGTTTTAAGAACATAGTAAGACAGGAAGGTATTTACGTACCCGTTTAAATGAAACGTGTGTGGTATCATTTTTTGACTGATGCCCCCCTGAGGGATTGGCAAATTCATGAATATAATTTTAATCTTCTTATTGAATTGTTGCGTTTTCAGATTTATATGGAGCTGAATCTACCTCTGAACCATGTCTCTTTGTTTTCGAAAAAAAAAAAGCAGCATAGATTTTGTATTTTCCCGTATATTTACTTGGCTCTAGTGAGATTACCTGTAACGTATTTGATTTTATCTTTTCCCATAGATATTTTGCTCACCAAGCAAACGTTATTAATAAATTGTAATGATTTAATTTGCCATAACAGAGAATACATGCTATATGGTCGGTCTGGTTAAAAGCAGCTACTGTATGATAATTTACGTAATCTGCTGGCTAGATGCTCTGAATTCTATCTGGAGAGTAAGTACTGTCGTTCCTTCGGTTTTGTCTATTGTACGTAAAATCTATGTCAATGCGGTTGAGCTAACAGTAATGATGGTGAACTATTAGCGAAAGGCCAGGATCACAGAACCGTTGAGGCTCGCACCGATTTGCAGCTTTCCCCGTTTTGATTTTGCCATTGTTGTTGCTGTTCCTGCTCATATCGGTGATGGCCCCTTTGCATAGGCGATTTTTGTAGCGTTGTGTGAAATTCTACCGCCTCCACTAACAGCATTTACCAGGTAAGACATCGTGTCTGGCATGCCGCCCATCGCAGATCTACCAACTGGCCTTATGAGCGCTAATGCACAGATACTTTGTTTCTCCCAAGGATACACATTAAGCTCTGAAACAGCATCACTTGCTAGAAAAAAACACGCACAGACATAAGTGTTGTGCTTGCATGCCACTCACACGTCCACAGACGCTCACATTGCATAGAACTAACAAGCAACTTAACGGAGGATCAAATATACATTACACATATGCAATGCACCTTTATTAAATCAAGCTGAACCAATTTATGCAAAGTATGCGTTCGTCCATGCGCAGGTTGTTTATGTATGTTTTTAATAGAGTGCAACTAAGCATACCTTGATGCTTACGAAGGAAACTGCCAGCTAACCAATGACCGAAAAGCTGCTTCGAAAACAGTCGAATGATGTACGCTTTACTATCTCCATCTACTTACCTGAATTCGCAAAGTCCGGGCTAGTTGCCCCTTTTACAACAGCAATAACAACATAATGACTGAAAACAGTGAGAAAGTGATTACGAAAATAAACGACTGTATGTTATCTTACCTGCCTGGATCGAGATATTTCATTTTTTATTAAGCTAGGATATTTCAGGTAACAAATGGTTAGTATTTAGCTTTATGCGTGTCAGTGCATCTATGCTACAAGTTCAGCTGAAGAAGTAAGTTACAGCGAGAATAAGGGAAAAAACAGCTGGAGTAAGTACATACTGAAGTCGATATGGTGATATATATATAATGGATATTAATCTGTACAGTGCACCTGTATTGTTTTGTTGAAGGAACTTTGGCAATTATATTAGTTGAGGTAGAAATATTATGCTCTGCAAGATAGAGCTTGGATACTAGTGAATAAAAGCAGGGTACACTTCTTTGTTTCCAACTTGTCAGTTGTAAAATATTGTCTAGAAGGACACTATCGTATTACGAGGCACAATCGTGTATGAAGACATACACGATTGTTTAAATATTATTTGTGATAGTAATCTTTCTAGCGATCAGCGCCTGTAGACCGGTCAAAATGACTCGGTTACAATACACCGTCTCTTTTATAAATAAATGAATGTGTGCTCCTAGGTTTGTCGTCAACAGCTCCATAGTTTATTCTTCTCACCATGGAAATTCAAAGTTATCACCGATGCTTTCACTGATAGTAACTTATCAATATATGGAATACGTTAATTGAAAATGCGAGATCAGAATTTGGTTCCTGCTCATAGTGGGAAAAGGTCGTGAATTGACATAAATTATTTCTAAAACCCGTGTGGCCTTAGGGAAGTTGACTATAACAAACATGGTGTTTTTGATCAAGAATTAAAGCACGATTTGTTTTAATATCAAAACAAGACATAGCTAGTAGAATTTAGCTTAAAAAGAAATGACTACCAGTCATTTCTTTTTAAGCTAGCTAGATGTTTTTTGCGCGCAAAAATTAAACATAGACATTTCATAGAACTCATTGTTACTAAAATCAAAAATAGTAGAGTGTCTGAGTATAAGAATGGCTCACACATACCTCATCGAAACAAGCAATTTTCTGCTAGGATAACGCTACATTGATAACTAATTCTCGACACCCGATATCACAGATACCCGAGATAGCCAAGCGACAGACTGGAAAATGGCTATGCTTCGTTTCCTTTACGTATAATAAGATGGAGGCACGAGCTTCCATTCTCACTCCTGTCTCTGCTGTGTCCGATTCTTCTGCTTCCTATTTGAGACCACTATGACTGGCTTTCGGCTTGCGGTGTCCTAATTCCTACAAAAGTAATCGGCAAAGCCTAACAGAAGTTGGTTGCTCCTTTTGCCGCTCCGCTTCGTTTGAAACAGAGAAACTGTTCAACGAACCCCTAGCCTTGAGTCAACAACCCTCTACTGCCAGTCGTGCTGTTACCGAGTTAGCATTTATATTGCAATTCGTCTACTCATGCCAGTGCAGAGAAGTAACGAAGACCAGGATATAAAAGGTATCCAAAAGGAGAAAGGGTATCTTCCATCAGGGAGGAAGCATCCGTAAATATCTCTAGCTCGGTCTTCTAAAATATGATTAGTTACTATCAAAGCAAGTTTTCCGAGAATAGGCGATATTAGTGAGCGGATTTCAGAACACCGTGACGTAAAATAAATGACAAAAGAGAGATGACAAGCCATTCGCACCCTTTGGATTGGGTAAAAGACGCAAAGCAGATTTTTCTTCGCAATTTCACGTCCATTCTATGTAATATACGATTATATCAAGGAATAAACGGTAAATTTTAAAATCAAGTCCCAGAAGTTCCGTTTTGCCTGAAATCTGAACGTGGCAGTACACACACAAAGAACCGCACCACTTCTCGTCAAATTCTCCGACGTGGTCATATCATAAACTAAACACTGGAGAATCGCGAAAGTAACCATGATTGACAAGAATCAATCATAGAAAAATCAAATCTGGCTTAGACGACAGTTGAAGTCGGAGCCAAATAATCCTGCTTGTCGACCCTTTACTGAATGCATTATTCATTACCTAGATGATCTCTATTTTCGAAACGCCCTATAGGTTTTAAAACAGTACTAGGCGATGCAAAAGTGCACTGTATGACCGTAATGTAAAGCTACCCTTGCCTTTTTTTATACATTACCAGTATATGGTGAGCACTGTAAATTGGTCTGTCTACCTCACGTTCAACGCGTTTTGGATCAGGTGTGTTTCTATATACGTTTCAAAATAAAATGAAATTTTACTGAAAAGAATCAGTCTAATCCTATTTCAGCCTCCGTATAGTATTAACGGGATCTTTCCAAATTTAAAATTTAAAAATGTAACGAATGCAGTTGTGGTGCAAAATGCTGGATTAAATCCTTGATTGCTTCTTAAAACAGTATGAGCAGTGACATAAGTGATATTAGTATTGATATATAGGCTATTTAGTAAACGGCCGGGATTTTTTTTAACGATTTTCATATGCAGGCTTGGCTTCATGAAACGACATCATGGTGAAGACGATATATTTAAAAAAGATCGTAAATACTAGCGCTATTAACATTCCTCTTTGTGATAGCGCAGTGTGTAACGTGTTTGCTTGCTAAGCTTAGTGATGCGTGGTGGCCTGCGTTTGAATTCGGGCGTAGATGTTTTTTTGTTTCGTGCTGCGAGCCGCGATCTAAAATAAATCCTAACGTATAAGAGCCGGACAAAACAAATAAAATATCATTATCTGAGTAGCTACATCATATTCTGTCGGACTCCGTATCCATTATAATTCACGTAGCACCAGCTTTTGGCCCCAATACTACCAGTTATGATGGCAAGTAAAAAAATTCAGGTTTGAGACCTCCGCATGCAGGATCTTTCTCCCTGGATTGTAAAGATAGGTACCCAAACTCACGAAAAACAAACCTAACATTTATACATACACCATCTGATAGGTAGGTGAACACTCAGACTGTACAATCAAGACTTATGTGGTATCTGAAATATAAGAAAATACGAACCAAATAATAATGTACCCTCCCTGATCGTGACATAAAAAAAAATGCTTGGCATGTTGTGAAGCCAAGATCTCCGCTATTCAGGAAAAGTTTTTGCAGTTTACAATGAGACATTAAGCCTAGCTGAAAATTCTAATGTACGCTATTCGTTATTTGAGAACAAAAACGTTGTGTTCCAACAAGCACAAAGAATTAGAAATTACAGCACCGAAATAACAAAATATAAAAAATATTATAACACATCGTGTAGAATATGATGAAATAATTTCCGCATTGAGGAAGTCCCGTGTTTCTCAACTGGAAGTACTGGCTGGCGTCGCTGGATGAGTAATCTTCGTAATATCGGACGAATCGTAATTGCATTTGGAGTGCCATAATCCTCAAAGGTACTGGAAAAATGATCGATGGGTTTTAAAAAGGGAAAAACATTCTCATATAGTGCGGAACGTATGTGTTGTATGCGAATAATAGTTCAAGGAAAGACACATTCTTTTATAATGTGTAATATAATCAGATAGTAGCTTATAAGTTCGCAGGATTCACAATTAAGAGCATCCTAGAATCCCATCTTCTGTTAATCTTAAGTCTATATGAATGTTAACACTCTTATTATGCAAAAGCGTACATACATGCAAACATGGACCTACGCCGTTTACGAGAGACAGAACAACAAGCTTGTGTATGCTCACCCAATAGTAAATCCATTAACAAGAATCATGAACTGCATAAAACAGCGAATATTACACTACATACATTTCAAAGTATGCGCTAAGAATGCGGTTATATGCTCGGCTTAAGAGGAAGCGATCCAAGAATTAAATTCTTATTATAACTATGATATCAAAGAAGGCCGCGCGTACGGAGTAACTCAATGTATTTCTTCTTATCGTGAGTACCCCGCACACACATTGCTCAAGACAATTTAAATTTACTCGGATTAAATCTAATTAGGCTTTTGAGTGGGTCTAACTTACAGCCCATTTGGTATTACACAAAGTGGCGGAATCTTTCAAGGTCACACTATTGTTATGATTATTATTATAATCCTGCTAGAATCTGCTAAAAAATATTCACAGGTTGTTTTCATTATTGTGTTTATTTGACATACATAATGTGCTACGTGCATTTTGGAGGGCTTACATAGTTGTTTAGCTTAGCGAACGAGAAATTACAAAGAAAATTAAGACTTTCTTACACAGTATGCTACATAATGCCGGACAGCGTCTGCTGAATAGCGAACATCTAGATCAAAGCGATTTTTGTGAAGCGGTTGGTTGTGAACTACGACGAATTCATCATTTTAGTGTAGTGAGCTAGGATATACATATTTGCTTTGTCGTGCCATGAGATCTTTTGAAGGGCCCTGATATCCGTCTCGACAAGACGTTCGTGCAGACGTCTGGCGTGAGGAGGAATATAGTTTGGAACCCGGCGGACTTGTAGGCCTGAAAACTGTGTATGTATAGTTGATGACGAAACGGCAGAGACGACAGTATGCCATGATGGTAAAGACAACGACGTTCTTACGAATACTGAGTCGCCTACCGATTTCGAATTTGCTTCGTCTAAGGGCGCAGAAGTAGACTCCTTCGTTTCATGAACGACAGGCGAGGCTGAAACGGGTATAACAGAAACATGAGGCTTTTGATCGATACACGTATTAGAAAAAGAAAACATTCCTTTCGAAGTTGGCGTAGACGTATCCTGCTTAGCTAAAGTATCTTCGGTCTGATTAGCTATTTTGTAGATTGGCTGTTCCCTTCGGCACAAGTTGAGATCAAATGGCTCTCTAATTAACGATACAAACCACAAATTTTTAGGGACAGATGGCTTTACTGATAGTTCAGTGGAGTTGGCACCTTGTAGCATCGTATCAGAAATGCTCTCATTAGACACTGCGGTGTCTGTTTTTTTACCAGGTGTTTCCATATTCAAAGCTTTTCCGTCAAGGCCCGCCTGTAGAAACGGAGATTTGACTAATAATTCGCCAAAGTTTGGATCCCATTGTACACTTGCTGACCTGACGTAAGCATTCATAAACGGATGCTCAAATTGAGTTCGAAAAATGTTTGAAGCTTGTTTTAAACCTCTGCAAACAGTTACTTCCGACGTGACCTCACACAGTTCATCAGTTGGCTTGTTTTGGTCTAAAGAATGCAACATCAGCTCCTTATTTTTATCGTTTCGGTGCCACCCCACTACCTCAGGAGACTCTGAATCTTCTGATGAAGTTTTAGAATACGAGTCACCTTCTATGACCGAACCGTCTGGTTTTTGTTTAGGTATTCCCTTATCCAATGTTCCTTCATTTTGTAGTACTGCATCGCAGCTCATACCTGCCGAAAGCTTGACACGGTCGTCCGGGACATTTTCGGAGTTTTGGTTAAGGGTTGTGATGCACTTGTTAGCTAATTTTGAAATATTTGAGTCTTGGGCGTTATTTTTTAAAGTGAAAGAAATACTTCTTTTAAGTACCACTTCAGTGCTGATATCATAATTTTCGACAGATGACATGGCCAACTCTGCAGTGACGTCCAAATCTTCTGATGTTCCTGATATATTATTTTCCGACACCGAGTCAACTGAATCTCCAATGAGGATCTTAAATGTAGCTTCTTTAGGAAAACTCGCCTCACTACTACCATAATTCATCGGGGAGCCGAATGATCGCTGAAATAAAGTTTCTGGTTCTATTTTCTCATAAGGTAAAATATTGGCTGCTGTGATCATAGTGCTTTTCACATCCATGCTGTGGTACACATTTTCAGTCACTGTGGCGTTTGAGTCTAGAATTTTTTTTTTTTCAGGATTCTCTATGAAAGCAACACATCGTTGATTCTTCTGCGTACTTTTGTAGGGCGTTATATAGACTCCGAAACATACTAGATGATCTTTTCTATCCATTGTCACCTTATCTTTGCAAATCATATCGGTAGTGTCCGTAATACTTTCCTCCGCCGAAATCGTAACATTAGTTTTACTTTTGTCAACATCGGGTAAGGCAACGTTATTTTGGACAACTGTAACATTTGCCATTTTCTTGTCTACTGCCACTTTCAAATTTGTTTTCATCAGCGACCCTGTAGTAGCGGTGTTATTTAATAATCGCGTTGTCGACTTCGGCTTACTCACGTACACAATGCGCTTGGCAGCCTCAAACTTGCAAATTTCTTTTAGGTCTTCGTCCACTGAACGACTAACTGTTTCTCTAGTATCAACCATTATTTTGTATTCTTTGACGAGTTCTTTAAAATCCGCTTCTTCTAGTGCCGCTTGCTGACCTGATGTCGCTTTAAGCAGAGCTGCCTGGCAGAGCTCCGCCTCCCATTGTTATTTGGATAACCGTAACTTCTCTTTGAGTTGCTCAATCGAATCCTTAAGGACATCAAGTTGTTCTACATGCGCCGATTTCTGTATACGCTTGGTCCATGCCTCTAAGTTCTTCTGGTACGCTTCCTTTTCCTTATTAGCCCGACTTACGTAAACTTGTTTTTTTTCATTTGACATCAGCTTCCATTGAGGTGCGACATTGGAAATCACAGTGCTATCACTGTCCTGCAAGAGGAATCGACAATGACAAAAATAGATCTATATATCGTAGAAAATCATCGAAATAACAACTCCCGGTGAAACCCGGTAAACTGCAGTCTCTCTACTTTGGTAGATACTTTTCCGATTCCGACGCTTTCACGACAAAAATTAATTGTCTCTCACCTTAATCCCATCAATACACAAGATTAGCTAACTATATGCCATTAAAGGGGAAACATACAATTTCTAAATATGTTTATGTAGACGCAGTGATAACGAAAGCTGAAAAATAAGTCTGATTACCACAAAGGCAACATCATAAACATTCACAAATGTAGCGTATCTTTCAAGATGATTTCCATAGAGCCACAATAATAAGGTATAATCATACTTTAAACGTCGCGCCCATTTCCAACAATGGGTGATAGCTCTAAAATATTCAAATTCCTTCTGGTAGCGGTACGACACGCATTCAACCATGGATTAGAGGCATAATAGAGATGACATAGAAATTCAATTTTTACAGAGTTTCCACTATACTTTTTTGAGGTACGTACAGAATAATTCGAGAGGTAAATGGAATTGATTACATTTTTGGCGGTAGTACTTACTGAATTCTGCATCATATCCCGAACAAAAAGTCTATAAGCATTAGGTGGAGGAAGTGGTTTTTCGAGCTGTTTTTCTAACGCGGAAAGCTTCTTCTTGGACTGCCTCAGCTTTTTTTCGACGGACATGTTTTTATGCTCTCGAAGCTGTTCTGGAGTCAGACTCGAAAGGAAGCTCTCGCGCAAATTTGAGTATTGGACAGCTGCATCCTTTGCCCGTTGATAATATCGCTGGAAAAATTAGAGGTGTGCACATATAAAACAAAAGTGTCGTCTGCTTAAATCTAAAGATCTTCGCCTCCAACAATACAGGATGGGTTAATAATTTTGATATGAAAAATGCTGCAATTTGTTAGCAAATCCAACATAGAATTCGGCCTTGAGTTTCAACATATTTTACCCTGCCTAAAGTTCAGTAAAACCCGGCAATACGTGTCAACCAAACACGGAAAGTATTCATATAGAGACAAAACAAGTCGAATTAACACAGAAGACTTTGTACGAACCACATCGACGGGATCTATTTCTATTAATGTGCGAAGTAGGCGCTTTTAAACAAATTTTAGAATTGTTAAGTCGATGTTTCCATTGCTACAGATATATATAAACTACAATGTTGTGCCTCAGGAATACAACATAAGTGACATTTACTTGTCGTGAGTACCATAGAAATTGACTTAAATATTATATATA